TGCTCTCCGACCCAGCCTGGGCCATCTCGCAGCTGGAGGGAGGCTGTACTGCTGTGCGAGGCCTAGCCCTGACCAAAGAATCGTGCCCGTCTGTCCTGTTTAGGCTCGCTGCCCCCGGGCTGTTTGAGCTGAATGCAAGCCCTGGGGAGGCCAGGAACAGCTCCTGATGGTGGGAGCGTGCAGGAAGTTTTCCTGGTGCCTGCGGTGTGCGAAAAGGTGCCTCCGTGGGTTGTGCAGAGGTTGTGGATGGAGAGGGAGGGAGGGATGATCTTTAAGGTCCCTTCCAACCCTAACCTTTCTATGATTCTATGAACTGGAACACACCAGCGTTTGCCTGTAACTAATACCTTGACCCTATCATTATAGATCTGAAAAGCAAGACTAGGAGAGATGTAAGCGTGCACTTTCCTGCACAGGGCACCGCCTGGAGCCTTTTGGTTTTGGGGATGTGCATGTGTGAAAGGCAACATCTCTTAAGTAAGTTTCTGGACAGCAAACCTGGAGAACTAAAGCACCTAATTGCTCTCAGTCACAAGATTTCACTACTGGCTCACAGGGCAAGAGCTTCTGGCTGCCTCTCCACTACGCAATAGGAGTTTTTGGGCATTACAGAACAGATATATATGGACAAGTGATGCAAAATGCTGTTGCTACTCCTATGCCTCACTTTGTGTCAGCGCCTTTCCCAAAACATCCACTTGTACTGAAGCTGGACTAATTGGGAAGATGGCCGAGCCTGTTCTGCAGTTTCTTAATATAGCATTTAACATGCAGGCCAGCTGGTTTCCAGTTCTCCAGCCTCCTAAATAGGACTGTATTTGATTCCAGAAACTAAATCTGGAACTAATGCCATAGCCACTTCAGTGGCACCTCACCCCGAGACCGGCTGCATCACAAAGGCATCTGCAGGAAGCGCAGTTCTCGTGCCACTCAGCACCTCCTTAGCAAACGCAGGAGTCGTGGCTTTGAGCTTCTAAAAAAGTCGTGCTGTGTTTTTTCATGGCTCTATTAATCTTCCTGGATAAAAACCGTTGTACCGGGGCCTGGTATATGTGATGAAATGCAGGAGAAGGGAAGAATTGCTCTGGGATTTGACAAGGATACAAGAAGTCCTGAGAGAAAATGAAACCCCTCTTGGCAGTTTGAGTGAATTCTGCCTTTCCCTGTCACTTGCTCTAGGTAAGTGCACTGCTCAGTTGAGACTGCTTATTCAGAAGAACGGAGCAGTGTGAAGTGCAATTAGCAGACTCTGCTTATTCCCTGCGTAGGGATTCTGCCCTTTTTTGGAATGGTACCTGTTCAAATTTCCACCCGTCGGACATAGTGGACACCATCTGTGTGAGCTCTTCCTCTTGGCACTGCAGGACTCTGTACACATGCTTCACCGGTCCCTAAAGCGTGGAGAATAAAAATAAGTGTGAGTTAGGCAATTGTTACACTAGCATCAAGCTAAGGAACTCATCAGCCTCTCCTGCTCTGATATCCGGTTATTTGAGGAAGACTGAGCCCCACAGGCATTCTGAGGTTTCATCCTGACCATCCAACCGATTCTAAAACAGGTACATACGGTGGGCACACGTCTCTTAAAAGCCTTCCAGGTGCCTAAGGGCCAGCAAAAGCGAAACTTCTTTGGCTTTCAAAGCCGTTTACTGCCTTCTGAAAGCGTTTCTGCTGCAGCTGGATCTACTGGGTGTGTTAATATCAGCTGAACAGCAATGGGAAAAATTGCCTGAGAGATTAAGGGAAGAAAATGGTTTTGAGGAGGAAGAGTTTGAACTATTCCGTACCTACCAAATCAGTATGTTTTGCTTTATAACTGCTCATCTTTGCTCCTGGCCCGATTTGCTTTCACTTTTTCCTACAATGCTAACAAGATGACTCAGTGGTCTGTGCTTATGAAACCATAATGGATACTGTCTGCTAGCTGTGCCTTGCATCTACCTAAAAGCACTTTTTTCCCCCGTTAAAGATGTCTGCTAAACCAAAGAACTGCTACTTGAAGTGTCTACAGCCACGTGTCCTTCCACCACGCTACAGAAAAAGACAGACGAATGTTCCTGGGCATTACTTGAGAGGTTCTGTTCTCGTTATCCCGTATCCGCTCCTTCACCAGCCGCACAAGAGATGCAATATTGTAAAACTCGGCTTCTTCCAGTACCCCTAGGAAAGGAACCAAGAGCAGAGAGAAATTCTGTCACTTTGCACAGGGTAGAACAAAGATGATGCTCCAAGGATGCACCGCCCGCTCCGGACTCCAAACCCAGCCCCGACGTGAGAAAATCCCTGACGTGCTGAGTAGGCTGTGCCACTGATCTCCTGCTCCCAGGCTGGAAGAAAAGCACTGCAGTCACCTCCTTTAGTGACTTAGAGGATCTTTAGGAAGGATTACTCCCCTTTCCCTGGGATCACCAGAAACCTCGCGGTACAACCTCTGTTTTGTTCACACAGCCCCGTTAGGGGAAAGCCATCAGAGCTGCCTGCTGTCCACTGCCGACCTC